GTCAAGCTCTAAACCTAGCCACTTCTCAAAGCAGCTATCCAAAAGACTCCTTGCTATCCCAAGGCCTCATACCTGATCTGCTCCCCCACATAGTGAGATCATCACAGTCCATCATGGAAATATAAGGGTTAGCACATATAAAACCAATCATAGTACATCATAATAAAATATCATTAAACAGATATTTATCCACAGTATTTATCCAGACCAACAAGTCATTTCCAAGCTAAATATAGACCAATCCAAAATATAATGTATACACATCCATGCCAATGCATACATATTTTATGTTAATAAAGAATCCATAACCAATGTATACAATCTATACCATATGTATACATATTCCACATCCAAAACAAAGTCACACCACTGTATAATCCATGATGTAAGCAACACATCCAAACCAAATGTTGGCCTCAACACATCCAAACCAAGTGTTGATACGGTGAAACATGTCATCAACCCATGTCTCACGCCTAACCTCTCATGGAAAATATACAGTTGGATTACGTCGTCACATAACCCTGATGATCGTGGCCACCTCATCCATCGGTATGACTCGGCCTGGACCCATACCGATAGCAAATAGAATACTTAGAGGAGTACTTCAGAATCCACCTAACATCTGAAGTGGTTTATTATGTAACCTTTGGAAAAGTTCCACATTGGAATCCTCACCATGGGATTCCCAAATTCCATATTTTTCCAAAGATTATATCCTGATCTCACCAAGAGATCTAATCCATACGATAACCTTACTCCTCTAAGTTCTATTAGCTTTCCAAACCACACACATATAGCATATTCCATAATTACATACAAACTTTTCCATAACCATGTCAAATCATTCAATATAATAACATGAATAATTAAACACCTAAAACAACCATCAACTTAAACAAATGACAAACTTCATATAAATAAAATAGCATATTAAAAGTTATACTACCCCTATCATGCTCATACATACTAGATTAAGTCTTATAAGTACTACCCTTACATGGAAAAGCATAAATCAAAACTAGTGCAGAACCTCCCCCTCTCCCTTCTCTTTTCTTTCCCCTGGCAGAACCTCCTTCTCTGAATTTCTCTTCCTCTCTCTCTCCTCTTTTATTTCTCCTCCTCTCTCTTTCTTTCTCTCTCTCTCCTTTTTCTCTCTCTAGGACCTCCTCTCATTTTCCTTCTTGGCAATGTAGTTCAACCTACCCAAGAAACCACAAATTTCTTTTTCTGTACTAGGAGCTGGCATTTCTAAAATTGCTCGAACTTTGTGAGGATCCACCTCTATACCCTTTTCATTAACTACAAATCCCAATAACTTGCCTGACTTCACACCAAAAGTACATTTGGCAGGATTAAGTTAGAGCTTATACTTCCTTAGCTGCACAAATAGCTTTTGTAGGTTTGTGATATGCTCCACCTCTGTTCTTGACTTAGCAATCATATCGTCGACATAAAATTCAATCTCTTTGTGCATCATATCATGAAACAAAGTTACCATAGCTCGTTGATAGGTTTCTCCAGCATTCTTCAATCTAAAGGGCATCACTTTGTAACAAAATGTTCCCCATGATGTAATAAATGTAGTTTTTTCCATATCTTCAGGAGCCATCTTTATTTGATTATATCTTGAAAATCCATCCATGAACGAAAAGAAAGCATGTCGGGCAGTGTTATCCACTAGAACATCTATATGTGGCAACGGGAAATCATCTTTGGGACTAGTCCTGTTAAGGTCTCTATAGTCAACGCACATTCGAACTTTTCCGTCCTTCTTTGGAACAGGAACTATATTGGAAACCCATTGAGGGTACTTCGCCACTGCACTTCCAACATCAAATTGTTTCTTCACCTCTTCTTTTATCTTTAAAGAGACTTCTGGCTTCATGCGCCTCAATTTTTTCTTAATTGGTGTGCATTCGGGGTTCAATGGCAAGTGATGCTCAACTATGCTAGAATCCAACCCAGGCATGTCTTGGTATGACCACGCGAAGACATCGGCATAATCAAATAACAACTTAAGCAACTTATTTCTTTCTTCTCCTTTTATCGCAACTCCTACTTTTATTTCTTTTTTATCATTTTCATTTCCCAGATTAATCACTTCAAGTTCTTCCTCATGGGGTTGGATTACCCGATCCTCTTGTTCCACCAACCTTTCCACTTCTAGTGGAGTGCTCAAGTCATCTTCATCCTCCTCGGCTTCATTAATGGGGTGATCAAAATTGTGACATGGGATATTAGCGTTATTATTTTTGGCATGGTTATTGTTGGATCTGCAATTTAGGGTTGAAAGAAAATGAAGGTTGGAGCAATAAATGAAAGAAAAGAAAGATTAAAGGATAAAAAGGACACATAATAGAATATCGAAATGCATTTCATTCATATGATATACTAAAAGACAACATGCACGCCCGTTAACAAAAAATTCATACTAAAATCACGGGCATAATCATAGAGTGTGTTACAATTACTTTGAAATTGAATTAAGAGTCACAGGAAATTCAACGATCTTCCAGTTGTAGAGCTCTTAACATGGGTCACACGGATACACAAAGTTGGCGTGATTACCATCATCATCCTCCTTGATCATATCCACTTGATCTGCGTGCACCACCCATCCACTTTGAAAGCTTTGATAAAGGTGACAAATGGGAACTCTCTGAACTTTAAGCTCTCGATTCTCTATACGAGCCAACCTCTACTCTTTATTCTCCTTTGCCATTCTTCTTTTATCAGCTTGAGTAGGTTTGTACCCTAGCCCCATCAATTCTTATTTTTTGGCAATTCTATCAATTTTGTAACTCCTTCCAAGCATTTTCCCAACCCAAGTCCTGGCTGGTTTCCTTCGTTCATCATGACTTTTGCAACCATCATGGATGCGTTTGATGGTTGTGGACTTCCCATTGGAGATTCAACATAAGCAGTACTAATTATTTCCATTGACTGAAATGAAGTTTCCAGAGCCTCCTCAGCTACTTCAATATAACGAGTGGGAGTAGGACAATTCACCAACATGTCTTCCTCACCCGAGACAATCACTAACTTGTCCTCCACAATGAATTTCAGCTTCTGATGTAAAGAAGAGGGAACAACCCCAGTTGAATGGATCCATGGCCTTCCTAACAAACAATTGTAAGCAGGTTTGATATCCATGACTTGAAAATTTATGTTGAAGGTGAATGGGCCAATCTGGATAAGGATCTCGATCTCTCCCATAATTTCCCTTCGTGATCCATCAATGGCCCTCACAATCATGGAACTTGGTTTCATATGTGTCCCATCACAAGGCAATCGATCCAGTGTTAACTTGGGCATCACATTCAATGAGGACCCATTATCGATAAGCACTCTAGCCAAAATGTGATTTACGCATTTCACAAAGATGTGTAAAGCCTTGTTATGTCCCCTTCCTTCAGCTGGGACTTCATCTTCTGTGAAAGTGAGGTGACTATTGGCTGTAATGTTACCAATGATACTGCCTAATGCGTCTAGTGTGATGTCATTGGACACATGAGCTTCATTCAAGATCTTCATCAATAATTTTCTATGACTTTCAGAATTCATTAGCACTGATAACAAAGATACCCTTGCAGGAGTATGATTTAACTAATCAATGAGCTTGTACTCACTTTGTCGAATAAACTTAAGAAATTCTGAAACTTCTTCATCCGACACTTCCTTTTTCTTTTCATCCATGACTTTTTTATCATCAATCCTCTTAACACTTGAAACTCCTTCATTGACGATTGTATTTTCTTTTTTCTCATGGTTTTTTGTCATGTCTCCTGCTCTCAACTCTGTTGGAGTATAGACTCAACCACTACAGGTCATTCCACATACCCCCGCGATATTTGTTACGTTGGTTCCTGCGGTGTCAATGCCATCTTTTTGTTGGGCATTCACATAGTCACTCTCTACCTTCGCATCGTAACGCCATGGAACCGCCTTAGTGTCCTTGTAATGAAAAGGAGCTGCATTTGCACAACGAGTGGCTTAAGGGTACTAGGTGTCGATGCGAAAGTGTTTTTGGTGAAGGTGATCACCAGTGGTCTTGGAGTAGTCATATTGGACTTCTCGTCTGATTGAATCATCAATACATCTCCTTCTGTTCGGATTTGGCTCACCTGAACCAAGTTTGAGTTAATCATGCCTTGCAATATTTGCTTGAACTTTCCACATTCCTCAATAGAATGTGCAGCTGTAGGGTGGAGACCGCACACTCCTGCTTCGCGAGACTCTGCCTTAATCATCCCAAATTTGCACAATTCTGAAAAAATGAATCTCATGGGGGTTTGGATCTTCTTTACTTCTGTCACTTGTGGAGTACATTCTTCTTCAATAGCATTAACCGATGAAGTCAAATGACCTGGAAGTGGATTACTTCCTACATTTGGCTCGCTTTCCTTAAAGCTTAATAATCCCGCATCTATCAAGTCTTGTACTTTGTATTTCAAACCCAACATTTCTCAGTTGAATGGCCTATCGCTCCAGCATGATATTCACATTTGGCATTTGAGTCATAACTTCTTGGATATGGAGGTTGGATAGGCTGATAGACCATGGGCCAAGGGCCCAGTGACCAGAGCTTGTGTCTGATTTATATAAAGACTATTTAACATTTTTTTTTGTTTTAGGTTGGTTACTTATCCAACTTGACCATTTCAGGTGATATGTCCTGGAAGTCTATTTGGTGTCGGTGCTGGTGATTTTGTGTTCTATATTACATTCGATGATATACGTGAATTAATAGAACCTCAAATGCTTAACATCTCAATCATACAATTTTGGATGTTGTAAGTACACAATTCTTATTAGTATCAATATTTATTTAATTAATTATGATTCATTCATAATTATTTTTTATATAAATTTCAGTTATCTAAATCAAAAAATTGAAGAGCATGGCTATGATGACTTGTATGGATTTTTAGAGCCCCAGTCCACACAAAAATAAGGGAATAAGAAAGAGGAAAATATAAGTTATATTAGTGATAGGATAAAGAATTCCCAGAAACAAATTTACTTAGCTCCTTACATTGATCAGTAAGTGCATGTTTCTTATTGCATTTAATTTATGTAAATTATATATGTATTGTTTAACTAATTTTGGCTTAATGTAGAAATCATTGGCAGTTGTTGGTTCTTTGTCCTATAAGTAATGTTGCTGTATGGTTTTGTTCTTTGCATCATAAGCCCACTATGCATGTCAAAAATTTAGTCAAAAGGTAAACTTTAATTTTTACACATGTTTTAATTTTATGCTCTTTATTATAAAATTTTAATAATGTAACTTACATTCATTTTATTTTCTTTAGTGTTATGGCTGTGTATAATGTCATGAATGGTAGATCTACTGCATTATCAAAGAACTTAGAATGGATTTACCCCATGGTAAGTGGTTTGTAATTAAAGTCAATGTTCCTAACAAGTGTCTTTTATTGTCTTAATTAAAAAAACCCAAACGACGATTTTGTTATTTATTATATTTAAAGGTTTTATCCTTTAAATGCGGAGAATGTTTGTCTCTGACTGCTCTTGACAGACTCTGCATTTAATAATGATGGTCATTCATTAGGAATATGCTAGACTGAATTTTCAGACGCAAGGGAAATTACCCAGACACTTCATCAGACTAAGATTCTCAAATGCAATAATTTCTTACTACACTCTGAGGAGTATTCAAACGTAGTGGTTTACTACGTTTGTTATCCTATTGTGTCTCAGAAGAAGTTGGATAGTAGATATATCAATATTCTAGTGCAAACATTTGGAACATGCTTCATTGAAGTAAATGAGTTTATACCTGTTTTACATATTCCAATTGTTTGTCCTCCTTGCTTTTCGAATTCTCGTTTGTCCTTTGTTCTCTCATGGATCGTATTCTACCCCTGCAATGTTAATTGCTCAACCCAAGGGGTCAAGCTCTTATACCAATTGAAGTTAGACGAAAAACACATAAAAGGGGGGTTGAATATGTGTGTGTGTGAACAAAGAAATTTTGACATCATTTTCGCAAAGAGATCATTTTTCATCCAATAAAAATTATTATGAATACTTAAAGATTGTGCAGGATTGGCTTAACAAAATATTTTCCATCTGAAATTTTATCGTCTGCATAAGGAAAATGTTTCTTAAGAAATATTAAGTTGAGCACATGTATTTTACGTCTGAAAAGAGTCATCGCGAAGAATCAACAATGGACGAGATTTTCAATATGATATATTAACTAAATGAAAGTGCTTCCTAAACATAGAAAAATAGTGCAAAGATTTTTATACTGGTTCGCTCAGACTGAGCTACGTCCAGTCTCCTTCAATTGAAGGGTTCCACTAGATTTTCAATGAAGTACAAGTATTATCACCACTTCTGGTTTGCCAAGTATTATCGACCACTTCTGGCCCGCCAACTTCACTCGTTAACGCTAGTATTCTTTGTTCAGCCTCTTCAGGCTCGTAGTGAGTATTCTTGACCACTCCTGGTCCCAAGTATTATCAACCACTCCTGGTTGGCTAACTTCACTCATTAGCTCTAGTGTTCTTTGTTCATCCTCTTCAGGCTCTTAGTGAGTATTCTCGACCACTCCTTGTCCTGAGTATTATCAACCACTCCTGGTTGGCTAACTTCACTCATTAGCTCTAATGATGGAGGACCATCCTTGAAGACACATGTGGCCCCCATCACTAGGTCCATGGCTAGGAGAGTTGAAGAAGAGGAGGGAGTTCACACACCAAGGGACACTCTCCGCATGATCATAGAGTATTAGTTTCTCTCCTGAGCCTCATTAGTATAGGATTATTTTATTTTCCAATTTTACCCTTGTATTTTGGGGTATTTTAGTCATAGGATTTATTTTCTTTGTATTTCCCATTTTACCCTTGTATTATGGGGTGCTTTAGATGATTAAGTTTTTAATTTGGGCTAGGGTATCACATTAAGAGGTGACGCCTATTTTTGGTGAGCATTGGATGTATTTTTGAGATAGATGATTTAGTTTAAGTGTTTGCTTTACTCTTACAGAGAGGATACAAATTTTTGTTACACTCACTAAGGTGCATGTTCTTAAGTTACACTTAGAACTCCTTAGTCTACAGAGATAAATACAATATTGTACATTTGACTCTATAAGCTTTGTCTCTAGTTTCATTGTTTCATGGGCTTGATATCACTCTTCGCCAACCTTTCCAGGTTTGAAGTCATGACATATATATAGTCTTATAAAAATTGCCCGTTGCAAATGTCCGTTGAAGCAGGATGTAGTCGTTCATGACTTGTTTGATCTTTCATTTAATGCACAAGATCTTGCATTAAATGTTGCTTCCTGTTCATAGACATTGTGTAAAGTCTTCTTCGTTTTGTTAGTAGTAGTGTCTAACTTTAGCTAAGACCTAGGAACTTTTTTGTCCTTTTTCGGTCACGTAGTTGTAGAGGCATTGTCTTTATCTGAAAAAGTAATGTACTTTTTCTAACACATGCATGCTTTTACTTTTGGGCTTGTTTTTCTTTTTCTTCTTTTCTTCCTTTCCTCGCGCGATCATATTAAGAGCTTTCACTAGTACAAAGGGGGTCTTTTACGTCGTCTATTTTAAGGCTTTTACGTCAGAAAAGGCTCCGTCGTTAATGCGGGAGACGTAAATTTACGTCGCCTCTGAGAGATGACGTAAATTTACGTCGGACATGCCCTATGCCCGACGTAAAAAAGGGCCTGGGATTTTACGTCGGACTACACCATGTCTGACGTAAATTTACGTCGGCCAGTGCTAGGTCCGACGTAAAATCTGGCATTTTTTTAAAAAATTTTTTATATTTTTGATATACCCAATATAAAACCTGCATATATAAACTAGACAGTCCAGAATACAAATTCAAATTATATTTCAAAATTGAATGACAAAAAGAAAATAATATATAAATCTTAAAAAGCATAAATTATGACAATGTAAATTCTATTATCCTAAAAAACTATAAAACATATGTTTGTCAATCTTATCAAACTAGAAACATAATATCTAACTAACTAAACTTAGAAATCTAACTATTGTATACTTTGAAGAAAAAAAGTTTCCCATTGTTTTCTTAACTTGATGATCTCATCTTCGGGCAATGGAGATAGATCTTGAAAGACCTGAAACATTAATTTAAGTGTCATTAATATGAAATGTTAATTATCGTAAAGGTAAATATACTTAAATAAATTTTGATATGAATTACCTACACCCAAGAATCAGTAATACCCGCAGAAACTATGGCTCTCATCCAATACATGATGTAATAGCCACATTCAAATGAGTCTTGTTGCTTATTACACTAAAATGAGAAACAAATAACTATTATTTCCAAAGTCAATAAATTTAAATATTATTGCCTGTATTAATTAATTTGCTAACCTTAGGGTATATGAAGTGCAATGTCTTTGATGATCTGCTTCTTCCACTTAAAATATTAGCTCCAGACACGATTCTAATTAATTGAAATAAAAACAAATGTTAGCCAATATATATAATTACAGTTTTAAAACATAATGAAAAATTTTAGTTACCCTTGTAATTGGCATTTAATTTCGTGGCTTGGTTTTCGATGTAGTGAACAAAACCACACCACGGTGTATTCCTTAGGAATGATTACCATTAACTGCCAATGGGACCTACATTGTATGACAAACAAATTAGTTATAAAATTACCATGATTAAAAAACCAATTAAAAAACTAACCCGTCAATGTATGGAGCCATGTATATATCTCTTCTTGAGTCACTCATCCATGTTTGCATATATTGCTGGATCTGGACCTGAGTGTTTCCTGATTTTTGGATGGATTGAGGCTCAATAAATCCATATACTT